TCTGTCATTCCCTTCTCCTCCTGCCCCCAGTCCCTCCCAGCATCAGGGTTTTTTTTCCCAATGACTCAGTTCTTTGCATCAGGTGGCCAAAGTACTGGATTTTCAGCTTCAGTGTCAGTCCTTCCAGTGAACACCCAGGACTGATCTCCTTTAGGATGGACTGGTTGGATCTCCTTGCAGTCCAAGGGACTCTCAAGAGGCTTCTCCAACACAACAGTTCAAAAGCATCAATTCTTCAGTGCTCAGCTTTCTTTATAGTCCAACTTTCATATCCATACATGACCACTGGAAAAACCATAGCTTTGACTAGACAGAACTTTGTTGGCAAAGTAATGTCTCTGTTTTTTAATATGCTGTCTATGTTGGTCATAGCATTTCTTCCAAGGAGCAAGAGAAAGGGGCAGAGTCAGGAAATGGAGAGTCAGGGAGCCCAGAATGCCTCCATTCATGCCTTGGAACCAGACACACCTGAAGCCATCAATGACTGGACCATTTACATGAGCCAATAGATTCCTCAACTTAAGCCATTTGAAATTGGGTTTCTGTCACTGGCAACCAAAGAGTCCTAGTTAATACAAGCAAATCTGGAAGGATTAAACACACATCTATTCAGCAATAGAGGATTGGAAGGATTCATATTTAAGCTGCAATTCAGACATGATTTGTAGACTTGTTATTGGAAATGTAAGAGGCCAAGTTCTGTGGATGAAATGTGCCTCCCTGGACACTGGAGGGTTAATGTCCACTTCACTAGCTTTGGCCCAAAACATATAAACAAGAGTCTATTGGGTCAGGATTCTGGGGCAGCTTTTTTCTCCTGGTATAAAGGCCAAGACTCAATTGTCACAGGCCCTTTCTCCTTTTCCTTCCCCTTTGCCTGAAATGCAGATGTGATGCCTGGGGCAACAGCAGGCACCTTGAGAGCATGAGAAAGAAGCCATACGCTGAGGATGGTCTAGCAGAAAGATGGAAGTGGTCTATTTCCTGACAATTCTGGGAGCTGCTGTACCTGCCCAGGACTGCCTACCTCTTGGCTTCTTGATCTATGAGAAAAAAACAACTCAATCTGGTTGAGCAACTGCAGGTGTGTTTTTGTTATATGCAGTGAAAACAACTCTAACTTACATGATGCCTAGACATGAGTTTGAGCAAACTCTGGGAGATAGTGAAGGACGGAGAAGCCTGGCCTGTTGCAGTCCATGGGGTCGCAGAGTCAGACACAACTGAGTGACTGAACAACAACAAAAATCACATCCAAAGAAAGGTCATGGACTTTTGGGTCAGGTCTGAGCCCACACTTAGGGACCTGCTGCTTTGGACTGACATGTCATCCTTCAGGTGAGTGACTTGGGTCCCTGTATTCATTTCCTATCATTGCTGTAACAAATTACCATAAATTTAGGGGCTTAAAAACCACAAATCTGTTCTGTTACAGTTCTAGAGGCAAGTTGTCCTAAAATCAAGGTGTTTTGGGGGAAGGAGAGGGTGGGATGAATTAAAGAGAGTAGTACATATACACACTATCATGTGTAAAACAGATAGCTAGTGGGAAGCTGCTGAATAACAGAGGGAGCTCAGCCTGCTGCCCTGTGATGAGCTAGAGGGGTGAAAAGGTGGGGTGTGGGAGGAAGGCTCAGGAGGTGGGGGATACATGTATACTTACAGTGGATTCACGTTGATACACAGCAGAAACCAACACGATATTGTGTTGGTTAAAAGTTAAAACAGATATTAAAAGCTAATTAAAAAGTCAAAACTTTTTAAACTTTTTAAAATTAAAATTTAAAACATTAAAAAAGTTAAATTAAAAAAGTTAAAAAAGATATTTGAGAAGTAGGAGTAGGGCAAATAGAGATAAAATAAAATATTTTAAAAAACGAGCCTGTAGGGGAGACTCCTTTTCTTCACCTTTTCCAACTGCCAGAGGCTGCCTGCATTTCTTGGCTCATGGCCCCTTCATATTCAAGCCCGGCAGTGCAGCATTTTCGAATCTCTCTCTCTCTCACCTCCACTTCTGTTGTCATGTCTTCTCTGACTCTTCTCCTGCCTCCTCTATCCTTTACAAGGACTCTTGTGATTAGATTGAGCCCATGTGGATCATCTAGGATAATCTCTCATTTTAAGATCTTTGGCTTAATCACATCTAAAAAGTCCCCTTTGCCATGTAAGGAAACACATTCACAGGTCCTGGGCAGTAGCAGGTGGGCATCTTCAAGTAGCCATTATTCTGTCTCCATAATCTCAGATACAGAAAGCTATTTGCCCAAGGTCATGCCCAGCCAGTGGGAGAGGGAGAAGTATGTGTGGGCTCACCCCCACAGGCAGAAGTGCCCTTTTCCTGCCTCCTTATTTGGCATGAAGCTAAAGCCCAGTCAGGCTTCAGGCTGCCCCGCCGCTCAGAAACCACTGCTGCCCTCCACTGCCCACAGAGTTGTCCTCTTGGCTGTGTCTGTCACTCACTGGTACTGGCCACGTGTTTGATCCGTAGCCTTAAAAGTGTCCCTCTTGTTCTCTGCCCAGTCTTAACTCAAAGTTAAAGATCATACTTGAGACCCTTTTGCACCTGTGGAGTGGGGCGGGGGTGGACTTCCAGATGGCACTAGTAGTAAAGACCCCACCTCCCAATGCAGGAGAGGTAAGAGACGTGGGCTCAATCCCTAGGTCAGGAAGATTCCCTGGAAGTGGGCATGGTAACCGTCTCCAGAATTCTTGGCTTGAAGAATCCCATGGACAGAGAATCCTGGCTGGCTACGGTCCATAGGGTTGCAAAGAGTCAGGACTGAAGCGACTTAGGAGACACATGCAGGCACGCGTGTACCCATGGGACCCACTGAGCCAATAGAGTTGAAGTTCAACATGTGGATGATGCATGGCTCATTATGGTCCTGGTAGATTATCCAGATCACTCAGTTCCTGTACCCCAGAATCAGGAAGGTGAAAACTACATTTCCCAGACTCCCTTGCAGGTTGGACTAGGTTCCACCAAGCCAGACATGGTGAAAGTGAAATGGAGCCAACAGATGAAAAGAGAGAATCTTCTGAGGGAAAAGTGCACAGGTTTGGTTTTTTTGGGGCAGTACTGTCAGTCCCTGTCATCTTAAGAACCACGTGACTGGGCATTTCTCAGAGCTGCATAGCTCTCTGCTATGCAGTGCTTGAGCTGGGTTCCCCAGTCCCCTTGGAAATCTGTAAGCTCCTAATGCCCTGTGTGAACATGCCCTTCTAGCTGGAGTGGTTTCTACTGTCTGCAACTAAGAACCGTGAAAGTGAAAGTCGCTCGGTTGTGTCCAACTCTCTGCAATCCCATGGACTGTATAGTGCATGGAATTCTCCAGGCCAGAATACTGGAGTGGGTAGCCATTCCCTTCTCCAGCAGATCTTCCCACCCCAGGAATCTAACCGGGGTCTCCTATGTTGCAGGCAGATTCTTTACCAACTGAAACCCAAGGTCTCATATTCATTTCTCCCTCAATCAGAATGTGAATTCCCAAAGAGCAGGAAGGATACTCCTCCTGTAAGGTCAGCAGACTACAGTCTCCCCAGTAAACGTACCAACATGACATGCATGATTCACTGAACTGGGTTCAAGTTCTAAGATTCTGATGAATTCTTCATCCTCTCTGTAACTCCAGAGACTGAAACAAAGTGGCCATCCAAATATGGTCTTCTTTTGAAACCTTAAAGCTAACTCAAGCCAAGAGAAGTCAAATTTATTCAAGTTTCAGTTTAAACACTTGAGTCAGAGGCGTGTGTGGTCGAGGAAATTCTTCCCCTTTTCTGTCAACTTTTACTTGCTACAAAAATGATGTAACTTTAAATAGAATGTAAAAATTCACCCAAAAATCTAACTGGGCAAACATGTTGCAATATTCCCATTTCCTTTTCAGCCTTATTCCTATGCATCCTTATTTTTGCAGGCAGGGGTCTACAATCAGCTTTTTTTCTAATTAATTAATTTATTACTTTGGCTGTGTTAGATCTTTGTTGCAGCATGTGAGGTCTTCATTGTGTCACGAAAGATCTTTCCACAGGGCACACAGAGGGGGTGCACAAACTCTCATCGTGGTAAATGGGCTTAGTTGCTCCCCGGAATGTGGGAATCTTATCTCCCTAACCAGAGATCGAACCTGTGTCCCACGCCTTGCAAGGCAGATTCTTTACCACTGGGCCACCAGGGAAGTCCCTACATTCAGTTTTGCATTCTGCTTTTTCATATAATGCTATAACACAAGCATGTTCCATGTTGTAACCTAGTCTTCCCTTTTGATGGCACATTATTTCTTTCAGCAGCCATTTTACTTCTTGAGCAATTCTGGTCCCTGTCTTCCAGCTTGTTTTGGCATCACAGTTCATACTGCAGACTTGCTTTTAGGTTCACTTCCTTACCACTGTTTCTCAGGGGGACAGGATTGTCCAGTCAATGCGCCCAAGTATCGCCATTGCTTTTAGAACTACGGTCTGGCCAGAGGGTAGGAATACCGTCCAGAGTCTTTCCCTGTTCTCATTCATTTTTGTTCCTTTTATATAGGTGCCTCCTTGTTGTCCCAACTTGCATTGCTCTAATTCTCAGGGGGGTTGGCTATTTCAAGGGGGGGGGTTGCTTTTCGGCTCTTGCTGACCTTTGTCCACGGATCTCCAGTTAAAAGGCTCTTTGTTTCGGGAGTGGGGAGTAAGCGCACTTGTCTTCCTGGCTTTCCCCCCCTCCTCGTCCACCCCAGCCCCACCCCAGCCCCACCCCTCCCTCCGTAGCCCCACCCTCCCTCCGTAGCCCCACCCTCCCTCCGTAGCCCCACCCTCCCTCCGTAGCCCCACCCTCCCTCCGTAGCCCCACCCTCCCTCCGTAGCCCCACCCTCCCTCCGTAGCCCCACCCCTCCAGCCGTAGCCCCGCCCCACCCTGCAGGGACTGGGACTACACTTCCCAGGAGCCCTTGCGCGGCCAGCGCGGCCGCAGCGTCCGCTGCTGGTTGGGACGCGAGGGCCCGACCTGCAGCGGGCCGAGATGGCCGCGTGGAGCGAGCGGCTGGCCGGCGTGCGCGGGGTGCTGCTGGACATCTCTGGCGTGTTATACGACGGTGGTGAGGGCGGTGGCGCGGCGATCGCCGGTTCCGTGGAGGCGGTAGCGAGGTGAGTGGGTCGCGCTGGGCGCCAGGCGCTGCGCTCAGCCGGGTCCCGAGGGCCGCGGGCCGGGGGCGGGCGGGGGACGGGGCGGGGCTCCTGCTGCTGCTCTGGCCCCGCCCCTCTGGGCAGGCAGAGGGCCGGCCCCCGGGACCCAGGATCCCACTGCGTGCACCTGGGGAACCCTGAGGCATTTCGGGCCCTGGGCGATCGTGGGGCTCTGCTGGTTAGAGTTGCTCCACTGTCCAGCAGGGCAGTCCCTGCTGCTTGCTGCTGAGTCCTTGGAATGGGGCTAGTCTGAGTTAAGATATGCTAAGTGTGTAGTCTACACGGATTTCAAAGACTTAGTGTTCTGTTCAGTCGCTCAGTCGTGTCCGACTCTTTGCGACCCCATGAACTGCAGCATGCCAGGCCTCCCTGTCCATCACCAACTCCGGAGTTTACCCAAACTCATGTCCATTGAGTCGGTGATGCCATCCAACCATCTCATCCTCTGTCGTCCCCTTCTCCTCCCGCCTTCAGTCTTACCCAGCATCAGGGTCTTTTCAAATGAGTCAGTTCTTCGCATCAGGCGGCCAAAGTATTCGAGTTTCAGCTTCAACATCTGTCCTTCCAATGAACTCCCAGGACTGATCTCCTTTAGGATGGACTGGCTGGATCTCCTTGCTGTCCAAGGGACTCTCAAGAGGCTTCTCCAACACCACAGTTCAAAAGCATCAATTTTTCGGTGCTCAGCTTTCTTTATAGTCCAACTCTCACATCCATACATGACTACTGGAAAAACCATAGCTTTGGCTAGATGGACCTTTGTTGGCAAAGTAATGTCTCTGCTTTTTAATATTCTGTCTAGGTTGGTCATAACTTTCCTTCGAAGGAGGAAGTGTCTTTTAATTTCATGGCTGCAACACCATCTGCAGTGATTTTGGAGCCCCCCCAAAATAAAGTCTGTTTCCATTGTTTCCCCATCTATTTGCCATAAAGTGATGGGACCAGATGCCATGATCTTACTTTTCTGAATGTTTCGTTTTAAGCCAACTTTTTCACTCTCCTCTTTCACTTTCATCAAGAGGCTCTTTAGTTCTTCTTCACTTTCTGCCATAGGGGTGGTGTCATCTGCGTATCTGAGGTTATTGATATCTCTTCAGGCAATCTTGATTCCGGCTTGTGCTTCATCCAGCCCAGCACTTCTCATGATATACTTTGCATATAAGTGAGAAAGAGACTTAGTGAGAAAAATGTAAAATGTTCATTATATCATTTTGTATCAGTTACATGTTTGAAATTATAGTAATTTGAATATGTTAGGCTAAATAAAATATATTTAATAATTCCACCTGCTTCTTTTGATCTTTGTTATTGTGGTTACCAGAAAACTTTAAATTACATTTGTGGCCGGTATTATGATTCGGTTGGACTGCACTGACCGTCTGCTTAGATGGCAGGAGGGCATCTTGCCTGTTAGTCTTGTGCACCGAGGACACTGCCAGGACTGCTGATGGCACCTCTGGACCCCGGGCTTTGTAATCGCCGTTGGCGTCTCAGAACCAGAAAGTGAGAGGGGTCATCAGGGTGAAGGGAGGGAGGAAGTGCCTTCCAGCTGGGGGGAACAGTGGCTTCAGAACCTGAAGAAGAGAGCATGGCAGGTTCCCCTTCACAGAACTGACGAGCGGGCGAGGCCTGGTGGGTGGCAGAGCCTGGCTGCAGCAGGCCTTGAGAGTCGGGCAGAGCTGTTTGGATTCCATCCTGAGTGCAGGGGAAAGTCACTGAAGATGTTAGGCAAGAGTATCATGGGATCTGAATTATGTTTTAAAGAAATTAAAATATAAAAAGTGAAAGTACCAGGTTGCCTGGTGGCTCAGATGGTGAAGAATCTGCCTGCAGAGCAGGAGACCCGGCTTCAATCTCTGGGTCAGGACGATACCCTGGAGAAGGAAATGGCAACCCATTCTGATATTCTTGCCTGGCAGACTACAGGCAGATCCTAGCAGGGTACAGACCATGGGGTTGCAGAGTCGGACACGGCTGAGCAACTAACAGTTTAGTTTTATACAAGTACCAAGTGAAAACAGGAGAGATTCCCTTTGAAATCTTGGAGTGGGAGAAGAACTTTCTACCTCTGCCTCAAAATCTAGACTCTTTATCTTACATTGCTTGTGAAGATGCATTTGGCATTATCTATTAGCATCTGCCTCATACATGAGAAATGAGATGGGTGGGAGGGCGCTTGTGGCAGTGCCTTGTGAGATAGCAAAAGACTCGAAACATCTCAGCTGTCCATCACAAGGGGAGTGTGACAGCCTCAGTCTATCAGTGAAGTTCTGTGCTGTATAAAAAAGAATGAGCACCCCTGCCATGTAGGTGTCCCATGTAGACAGGACGTGCTCTGTGCTGTCTTTAGGGTACAAAAGGTAGGAATGCAAGCATGTATTCCTGCTGGTAGGTTTGCATAAAGAAGGTGGAGGGAAGAACTTCACTATGTGAAGAGCTGGGGTGGTTGTAGGAAGGGGGTGGGAACAAGACTCTTCCCTGGCTAACTTGGTATAGAAACATTTTTACACATTTTTGAGCCACGTGGATGTATTTTCTTGTTCAGGATACCAAAAAAAAGGAGTATTTTCTGAATTTTGTCTCAATAAAGCTGGAAAAAAAGCCACATTTCCTTACCCCCACCCCCACCAACTCTTTTAAGAAGAACTCTGTCTGCAAAGTGCAGAAATAGGTGTTGGTGGGGCAGACGGCAGGGCTCCAGAGGAAACAGGGAAGCAGGCTGCTGCGAGATCCTTGTGAGGTCCAGGGAGACATGAAGGGGTGTGGGCTAGCGGGTGGAGATGAAGAGAAGGGGGGTGAACTCAAGAGACCTTCTGAGAGCAGGACCAATGGGACCTTGGACCACTGGATGTATGGGGTATTGTGGGGTCCAGGGAGAAGATGAAGTGGAGAACGACTCCGATGTTGGACTGCAGCCCCTGATGGGATGGAGAGGGGCCAGAGTGGGGTGCAGGCAGGTGCCATGATGGCTCTTGATGCAGTGCCTAGCTCTCGATAGACCCCAGGAGTGTGCCATTTAAATCTCACTTCCCACGTTCATATAGGAATTCTGGTTGTATGTGCTTTTAATTATTTTAAAATCAGGACCACTTAAAAGCATCTTTACATTAAAGAAAAATACTCATCTCTTCTCCTGAGGTGGGTCTAGTTTCCCATTTTCAGTTATTTTCAATAGGGCTGCCACGAACATTCTAGAACATGTCTTTGGTGAATGCATGGATGCGTTTATGCTGGGTACAGACCCAGGGGTGGAATTGCTGACCCTGAGATAGGCCTATAATCGTCGCTAGAAGATGCTATCGGGCCATTTCCCAAAGTGGTGTATGTGAGAGTCCCTGTGGCTCCATTCCTTACAAACATGTGGGTTTTTGGGTCCTTGGCATCTTCGCAAGGTCGTTTTTGCTTCTAGAAACCTGTGATGTAAAGAAGGTCAAGGATATGGAGAGAGCCTCAGTCCCATCCGTCCAGCTTCTGCCAGGGAGCACAGAGTGGCTTCAGTAGCGGCCTTGGAGGAGGTCAGGCTGATTGTGACCCCTTGCTTTCCAGCCAGTAGCGTGGGTCTGGGTGCACCCTTCCTGGGTCAGTGGCTCCAGGGATCATTCGGGGAGCACTTCCTCTGTGCTGGGCGTCCGTGTCCGTGTTGCTCCATCCCCTACTGCTGGGAGGCGGCTGTTATCTCCCTGGATCAGCTGAAGCCACTGCTCAGCTGAAGCCCCTGTGGCTCAGGGCTCGCCAGGTCTCTGCTGGGATGGCCCAGGGACCATGGGAACCTAGGTCTGCTCCACTCCTACTCTCTGTGCTGGACCTGAGCGTAGGGTCCTTTGAGGGAGACATGGGTATTGGAAAAGGACGGGGTCTTCTCTCCAGCAGCCTCCCTGGGTGATGCTCCCCTCCCCCGACACACTGTCCCACAGTCTGCCTCCCACCCCCAGGTGTGACTCTAAGGGGGTTGATCCTTGCTCCGTTAACCACGGAGGGTTTGGACTAGTGTCTCCCCCAACAGACCTCCGGGAGGTTTTTGTCTTAAAGGAAAGGAAAGTGATGTCCCACAGTTGTGTCCAGCTCTTTGCAACCCCATGGACTGTAGCCTACCAGGCTCCTCCGTCCATGGTATTTTCCAGGCAGGAGTACTGGAGTGGGTTGCCATTTCCTTCTTCAGGGGATCTTCCTGACCCAGGGATCGAACCCAGGTCTCCCACATTGCAGGCAGACGCTTTAGCATCTGAGCCACCAGGGAAGCCTCCTTTTGTCTTGGCCTGCTTTAATTCAACTGATTTGTCTAACTGGAGTGTCTTTGGTAGCGGTGACACTGTATCAGTCTAGCAGCCATATGATAACAGGCTATACAAATAGTCCTCAAATGCATCCCAGCTGCAAGAGGGAAGTGCCTTCCCCACAGAGCACAGGATTGTTTCCTGCAATTGACCATCCTGCTGCCCAGCGGCCTGGAGAAAGAGGCCTGGAGATCTGAACCACCCTGCGGCCCCCTGGCATAGGACCACACCACATCCCCACAACTCTTCCCCACCCACCAGGGCCTTCCCAAGGGACCTGTGCGGCCCCTTCTCTCCCTCCGCCCACCTCACCCCCGTGCTCCCAGTTACACAGACTTTGGTTGGGTTTTCCCCTGGCCAGCCCCTTAGCAGCCCAGCATCCACAGAACCTGGCTCCCCCACCCCACACTGCAGCACCCTCTGGCTCGAGATCCTTTTCTCTCTAAAGACTAGGCCCCTCCACTCAGGCCGAGACCTCCCATGGCCAGCTGGTCACACTCAGGCCCAAGGGAGCGGCCCCTGTCCTCCTATGGGGGGCCGCCGGAGCCCCGTGTCCAGACCCTCCTGGCGGCGAGTGTGTGTGGATCCTCTCCCCAGTAAAACCTGCTGGCTCCTGGAGTGTCCCTGGGGATGTCAGACTTGGGGACACTCTTTCCCTCTCGTAGTGCCTGAGCCAAGAACTGGCTC